CCTAGCCGAGTCCAACTCCCCTCCCAGCTCGACAGGACACCCGCCCCCCCCCCGCCCCCCCGCCCCCCCCCCCCGCCCGCCGGCCGGCCCGGCGGCGCCCCGGGAGAAAAGGGCAGAAGACGTACTATCCACACACTCGATGCCAATAGGCGCATCATTACCCTGCCCAGATCCGTCAGCAGCGAGAGTAGAGCCTACAGCCGCCACCAAAGCAGTGGCAGCAAGCGTCTCATTGCGCGGCTCTGCCAGGAACGCGGCCAGGACCGGATCAAGCGCCAACCAGGTCCGGGGCGCGTACAGGGCGAAACGGATTCCAGTCTTCAGCTCATCGTAGCCCAGGACGTCGCCCTGATACCCGATCGGCCGGTATTTAAGCTCCTCGAGGAGGGCAAATGTCGCCGCCTCGAACTGCTCGGCCGTGGTGTTCGGGAAGTTCTTTGCTAAGGTGCACAGCTCGGGCGCTGCGAGGCAGTCTTTGAAGAATTCTAGGAGAGTGACGTCGGAGGAGGCATACCCCTGGATGTCGGACCTGTAGTAATCGTCAATCGTTAACTCTTAACGACGTTGATACTATTTAGGACCCTCGGATGTTGATCTTGTTTTTTTCTTTTTTTTTTCCTTTTTTTCCTTTTTTTTTAAATAACAATAAGGTGAGTTGACTTAGACTTACTTCCCATTGAAGTATTCGATCGGGTTCAACACCCCGTCTGCAGTACAGCCCGAAGAAATTAGCAAATTCTTTTTCTTTTGTCCCCTTGCCCTGGGATTTCAGGGGAAGAAGCCTTTACCGAGTACTACTTTGTCAATACGATCGGGGAATAAACCTGCTATCAGAGCCCCTAGAGAAGTGCCATACGACAAGCCTGCGAGATCATTTCAACAACGTGTCAGCGTCTTCGACAAATACCGCCTAGGCCTCTTTCTCCTTGCGTGGGGAAGATGATGAATATCGCGATACTCACCCCAAAACCTCAATAACCCATCCTCCTCCACCGCATCCACGATCTGCATGGCATCGTGAGCCGTGGTACTGCTGCCTATCAGGGGCCCCTTCTTCTGAGCATCGGGATACTCCGCACAGGCGTCGGCGTAGTTCTTCCCGGCCGCCCATATCACGCCGCGCTCGGTGTCGGAAGAATTGCCCAGGCCAAGCTGTCCAGTGATGTCGACACGGTCCGTGGCATTGGCGAAACATGAGAATGTAAAAGTATCGGCTACGCCGCGTGGATCCCAGCCGATGAGATCGTGCTCGCCACCGGTTACTCTATATAACGTGTTTAGTCTATCTTCCGTTGTTTAGGGTAACTCACGAAGAAAACGACGGGAATCAAATGGTATGCAATCAATACCTCGGACTCGGACTTGGACTTGGACTTACACTTGCAACATGTCCGCCAACTCGGCCAGCGTATGTCGAACCTCGAGCCCCGGCCCTCCAAAGTTGAATAGAATGCTGTGCTGGGCAGGTTGTCTGGCTGCCGGTACTCTGACGAGAGACAGGTCGATGGTTTCGGTGCTGGCGGCATCCGTGTAGTCAAACGGCACGGCCAGAGTGCCGCAGTCGACGGGCAGAGCTGCTACAGCGTTGACATCATCGGGACACGGCTGCCATGAAATGCCACTCGTTGTATGATTGCGTGCGCCGACCCGCGCAGCGTTGGCTGCTAGGAAGAGGGTGGCGGCTTGGAGAGAGCAAAGGAGTGAAAGAGGCGACATGCTGCCCTCCTCTTCTCGAAGAAGTATGGATGAAGAGTGCAGATTGACAGGAAAAACACTCAGAGTAAGGAAGCCCGTTGAGTGCTCCCTGGAAGTGAATACAGATGAAAGGGAAAAACGAGACGACTGTTTCGAGGACTTACTGCCATATATATATACACTATGGGCATCATATCTACTCAGATCCCTCCCTGACAACAGGCCGCTTCATCATTTCATCGAGTTCTCATCTTTTGTCTTCGTCAGCTCTCGACGATCACGCATGCGTTCGAAGAGTATTACGATACTTGGCATTGAGCCTCGTTCATCGTATGATTGGGGGGGGATTCGGGATAGGTACTACATGATGGATGAAATCAATAACGATTTTCGAAGCACAGCCAGGAAAGGACTTGTTCATTTACTGCCTAATCGGGAGACGATCTTCCCTCCTTACAGATATCTTACCTATACGGGAAGGGCTATGCAAGTCAGCGACAAAAAGGTTTGACGTTCCCGCGGAGGTCACCATGTAAGCAAGGTGTGTAGTCTAATAAGTAATGTAAGCCGTGGGCTGAGGCTGGGGCAGGGTCTGGGTCTGGGTCTGATCCGAGTCTGTCCGTCTGTCCGTCTGTCCGTCTGTAGTCTGGGCATTTTTCATGCAAAGCTCATATTTATAACGATAACTTGACCAAAACAGTGAGCATGATGAGTAGGTAGGTAAAATGGTGAACCCCAGCAACCAGCAACCAGCAACCATCGCGCTCATATCCCGTTCGCCAGAATCATAACGAAATTTGCAAATTACTGTCGCGACAATTCGTAGCCAAGACGCATCTCCATGGCCCTCTTTTTTGGCCACGGAAATAAACCTGTACCTAATCTCCCAAGTACGTATGATGGACAACTTGACGGGGAAGGGGGGCTTTTTTCTTAATCAATAGAATAGTCGTGTGATTTCTGCATTGATAGCAGCAATTCGATTAATCCCCCCTCGGGCTTTTTTCCAATGTGCAAGGCACATCCGCTATAACATATCCCAGGTATTCAGTACGGGAAAAGACAGGCCCGGGGCAGTCGGGAAAGGTGGATCTGCTCCGTCGTAACGCGGGCCGAACGGTATCTTTCCCCGGCCCGTACAGAACAATCATACGGCATACGGTAAAACCATGATACCAGCCAAGGCCGACAGGCCACTCAGTCGGATGGATGGAATCCAAACATCTAGTCTGCATAGAGGATCCATTAATACATCTTTGCTTCGCTATAGCACCACAGGTTAGGTCGAAGAAAGGAGGTACGTCCCTTTATTATCGTCCCGACTTAGAAGTGCTCCGCAACATACCTGTCACTAATCGATGATGGTACCCGGATGTATGTGTGGTTTTTTTTTTACCAGACTCAATAAGTCTAGACGGGTAGTGATAGCATTGAATTGGCGAAACAATTATACGTCTTCAAGGCTCAAAAATCTAAATGTGCCCTCGTATAGCCCTTCTGCTTCCCAGGTAGCTATGATATACCTGATATCGTGATCATTCCATTTCCATAATCTTTGCCCCCCCAACGGACACTTTGGGGATGCGTTGCATGAAGCCGGTGTGGATTATTACGGGCACGAATGCTGGTTCAAGCCGAGTCTTTCCCCAAGTTCTCAAGCCAAGCGCAGCTTTCCACGCCGACAATGGACAACGATGCCGTCGTCGCCAACGAAGTTCGGCAATGACTCGATTGGGGATTTCTGTGAGGTAAGTAGGCAGGTAGCGCATGGATTATTTTGCCACGTTCCGCCCGACGTAATTAGAACCGGCGAAGGGGTTGCTATGAGATCCTCCCTTGTTGACCTTTCCCAACTCTAGATCAGATGT